TGCATATATATATATATGCACATATACTCTATATGCATCCGAAGAAGTGGGCTGTAGTCCACGAAAGCTTATGCTCTAATAAATTTGTTGTCTCTAAGGTGCCACAAGTACTCCTGTTCTTTTAATCTTGGCATTTCCTAACATTTCAGTGATTGACTTTGCAACCTTAATATTTTTAACACATTTTTGTATGTAATTTAATCATAGAAGATTAGGGTTGGAAGACCTCAGGAGGTCATCTAGTACAACCCCCTGCGCAAAGCAGGACCAAGCCCACTAAATCATCCCAGCCAGGTCTTTGTCTAATCGGGCCTTAAAAACCTCTAAGGAAGGAGATTCCACCACCTCCCTAGGTAACCCATTCCAGTGCTTCACCACCCTCCTAATGAAATAGTTTTTCCTAATATCCAATCTAGATCTCCCCCACTGCAACTTGAGACCATTGACCTTGTTCTGTCATCTGCCACCACTGAGAACAGCCTAGCTCCATCCTCTTTGGAACCCCCCTTCAGGTTGAAGGTTGCTATCAAATCCCCCCTTACTCTTCTCTTCTGCAGAATAAATAATCCCAGTTCCATCAGCCTCTCGTCATAAACCATGTTCCCCAACCCTCTAATTATTTTCATTGCCCTCCACTGGACTTGCTCCAATTTGTCCACATCCTTTCTGTAGTGGGGGGCCCAAAACTGGATGCAGTACTCCATATGGCCTCACCAGTGCCAAATAGAGGGGAATGGTCACTTCCCTCAATCTGCTGGCAATGCTCCTACTAATGCAGCCCAATATGCCGTTAGCCTTCTTGGTAAGAAGGGCACACTGTTGACTCATATCCAGCTTCTCGACCACTGTTATCCCCAGGTCCTTTTCTGCAGAACTGGCATTTAGTCAGTCAGTCCCCAGACTGTAGCAGTGCATGGGATTCTTCTGTCCTAAGTGCTGGACTTTGCACTTGTCCTTGTTGAACCTCATCAGATTTCTTTTAGCCCAATCCTCAATTTGTCTAGGTCACTCTGGACCCTATCCCTACCCTCCAACATTCTACCTCTCCCCCCAGCTTAGTGTCATTTCTATATATTGAGGTTGTGGCTTGTGAATACTTGCCCAGAGGAATGTTCAAACAGTGAATAATTGTTCAGTTATATACTCAATTTTTGCAAACAGGGGATATGGCCAAGATTTTTAAAAGTGACTAGTGACTTGGGGTGCCTCCATTTTGTGGTACTTTATTTCAAACATTTTAGCAAGGCTGATATTTGAAAGTGCTCAGCACTTTCTGAAAATCAAGTACCTTTAAAGTGTCTCAAGTTGAACAAACAAAAACTAAGGCACCCAAAATCACTATTCACTTAAAAAAATCATGGCCAACCCACACTGAGATTTCAGTATAATCTGTGAGGGGAACAGATTCAATTTTTTGGGCTGTAACTGACTGAAATCGATATCTTTTTACATAGTTCAACAAGGAGGATAACTTCATTGAATGAGTTTTTGGCTTAGTGAAGATATGATGGAGGTCTATAAAATCACGAATGGTGCGGAGAAAGTGAATAGGAAATGACATTAAAAGGTAGCAGATTTAAAACTAACATAAGGAAGTATAGGAGGACTTGTGGCACCTTAGAGACTAACAAATTTATTAGAGCATAAGCTTTCGTGGACTACAGCCCACTTCTTCGGATGCATATAGAATGGAACATATATTGAGGAGATATATATACACACATACAGAG